ATATTTCCTAAATAGAATATTTGTTTATTGTTTTGATTTAATATGTTAAAGATTGCAAAAATCGGGTTTGAAAATCTTTACCATTTTCAACTTTGTGCATGTGATGGGTCTCGCTAAAGAATTAACTCCTATACAAAAGGGAGGCATTATTGCAGCCAAAAAATTAGGTCACAACAATACAGAGATCGCAAAAGTTATAGAATATCATCGAACAATTATTACAAGATTTCTTGCAACTTATGAATCAGAAACACCTAAAAAATGATCAGGTTGACCCTACTTAATCGATAGCCAAAAAGGCAAAGATTAAAGGCAATAGTTCTCAAACAAAAAGAACTAAGACGAAAAAATCTAGTAGAAATTACTAATATATTTTCTGCTAAAATTAATAAGCCAGTCTCTACAAAAACAATTCGTCGTGCACTTTACAAAAAAAATATGCATTTCCTGTATTCTTCAAAAGAAGCCTTTCATCTCAGCAATCAACAAAAATAAATGACTTATATGAGCAATAAAAAGAAGACATTGGACTGTAAAAGATTGGAAAAAGATAGTCTGAATAGATGAATTTACATTTTCACAGTTTCGAAAAACTAGATGGAAAAGAGTGTGGAGAAAGTCAGAAGAAAAATTTAATAAAGATTACATTGCATTAACAGTAAAACATTCTCTTTAAAGAATGTTTTGGGCATATTTTTTCTTTTTAAAATTAGGTCCTATTATTCCACTTGAAGGTTCAGTAACTGGAAATGTATATAAAGAAATGCTTTTCACTTATGCAATTCTCATACTCAAAGCATTTTCCTGACAAACTAAAAAAAAATTATTTTTCAGAAAGATAATGCATCAGTTCACACATCGTAAGTTATATGAGAATTTCTGCATTCTCAAAAGTAGAGATGCTTTCATAGCCTACTCAAAGTCCTAATTTTAATCCAATTAAGAACTTGTGAGCTGTAGTTGAGGTAGAAATTTGAAAACATAACCCTCAGCCATCAAGCATTTGTGAACTTGAAAAGATGGTAAAAGAAGTTTGAAAAGCGATATCATAAAAAGTGTATTGTGACTTGATGCGATCAATGTTAAATAGAATTCAGGCAGTGATCGATACTAAAGGAAGACATACTAAATATTGATATGTTATTTGTGAATATAAAAAAATGATCTGCTATTTTAATAAAAAAAAATTTATTACAAAAATAAAACTGTGCAATATTTTTTTTCCCTTCAGTAGTATAATATTTTTTTATAATTTTATAATTATATATAAAATATAATGTAATAATATTAATTTAAATAAAAAAAAAATTAAATTTTACTTTTAAGCTAAATAATATTTTTATAAAATAAGTCTAGATTTAAATATTAATTTAAAAAAAATTTTTTTGAAAATTTTTTTTTTACTTTTTATAATATAAAGATTTTACCAATTATAATTAATATGATATTATTACTAGATATTTTAGTAATATATTTATAATATAGTTTTTTTAGTATATATATAATATGAATATTACATATATATGATTTTTTATAATAATAGTTTATATTTGTATATTTTTTAATATCTTATCATCTTACAAATATTTAGAATTCTTAAATCAATTCTACTATTTATATGATTTAAAGTTTAAGATTAATTTAATTAAACTAAAAAACATATTAGTATAATATATTATAATCAGACTTTATATGAAAAATATATTAAAGAAAAAAGTATATATAGAAGTATTAATTGATTTTTTTTTTTATAACTTAAAATTTATAAAGGAGTTAGTTTATAACTTAAGCAAAAAAGTTATTCTATTTATATAAATTAATATACTATACTAACTAAGGTTGCTGAGTGAAACCTAGAGGTTTTGCAAGTCTTCTAAATGGTAAAAGTTAAAATTTATCAAAATTATATTAAAAAATCTGCGAAACACTGAAAAGGTAAAGCTATATCAAAGCTTATAAAAATGCGAAGCTATATCAAAATATTAATAAAAATTAGCAAAACTAAAGTTTAGACGTTTTGCTAAATCCAAAATGAGTTTAGATAAGCAACCTTAATACTAACTAAATACTATAATTAAATTAATACATATATTATTAACAAATATAATAATTAATAATATTAATAATAAAAATCGTTGAGTTAAAATCAAACTTAAATTTTTGATTTTTGTTAAAATGAGTTTTGCTTTTTTTTAAATTAAATTTCAAATAATAATTGAAAAGTATTTAGTTTATATGTATATACATATTATATATAATTTATATCCTGAAATCGCTGGTTTATTAATTCGTATCAGTGATCACAACATTCATTCATCACAGTTAAAGAGAAATAAACGAAAAATTTATTAAGGTAAACTTATACAATTTTATTTTTTGGCACCCATGATACTTGTTAAAAATAATAGATTATTTCATCTTTCGTTTAGTAGTTCGATTTTCTTTTGATGCACGGTTTTCATTTTCTAATAATTTCTATTTTTTTTTTAAAATAAATAAATATACCAAATTAATTTTGACTTTAAAAATACCAGTATATATATAAATATAAGAATCAAACTTACGTTCCACTCTTCTAAGAAATTATTTAGATCTTCTTTCCAAATCATTTGCGGAGTCTTATTTTGAAGTTCGGCAAGTTCCAATTCTTTCTCGACTCTTTTATTCACGAGTTTTTGTGCATCTTCCTTACAAAAACTCCAAGATTTAGTATTCATTAAATAATTATATCCATCGCCATCACCAGATTCATCATCATCATTATTCTCTTCTTTGGAATTTTTGAATCTTTCAAAACCTTTGGACTCAAGTAATTTAATGATATCAGCTTTACGAAGTCCTTCGTATTTGAGATCATGATTTATCTTCATTTGAATAAACCGAACTTTATTTCTGAGTTTGTTAACTTCGACTTCCAATACCTTCAACATATATTCCTTTCTTTTATAGTAATATTCTAGCCTATAATCATAAAATTCCCTAAGAATCTCTTCAGCTGAAGTATATTTTTTGATTCTTCCTTTCCCATCAAAACATACCATATTTGATGTGTTAATGATAGAAGTCAATTTGAATTTCTTTTCAAGTCCTTCTTCTAAAGCATCATTAAAATTATTTTCAGTCAATTTAACGGTAAAATCAACGTTAGTTATCGTATGATTTTCATTGTACTCCTACATATACCATATTGAATATTAATTAATAAAAATTCCAAGTTCAACTGTTTATAAAAGAGGAGACATATATAACATACAATTATCCAAGCGGGTACTTTATCTGTTCCGGCAATCCACTGTTCAAGCTGTTCTTTATAGCTTTGTGTCCAAACACGAATCGGCAATTCAGTAATTCTAACTTCTGATTTATTTTCTATTGGCTCGATTTTACCGCGGACTTTATATTTGTCTTTGCTTGTATATTCAATTTCACCTTGAAAACCACGGTACCAAGGATGCATAGGAATTGGTTCTTCGCCATCTAATAATCGCGTCAAATTATCAACAATATCCCGTGGATTATAATTTGGAATATACGAACTCCAACCTAATAGTAAATATAAAATAAGTATATTCAATATTGTTATATATATATTTTTAATTAGAATATATAGGTACTAACCAGTTCCGATACCCTCAGAGCCATTGACGAGAAGCATAGGTAGAACGGGCAAATACCACATAGGCTCAACGATCTGCCCATCATCGTTACAATAGTTAAGTAAAACGTCATCTTGAGGGTGAAATATCAACCTAGTCAATGTAGGAATCGTAATGCTGATATAACGTGCACTAGCTGCATCTTTACCGCCCTATTAACGATTATGTTAATAATAAAAAAAGTATACTTGTATCTTATTTCAAATATAATAAACATTTATTATTGCATATTTCAAGTCAGTAAGCAAAAGTTAGATAACCTACTTGGATTCTTGTACCAAATTGACCTACTCCATAAAGCACATTGATATTGTTCGAACCGACAAAGTCATGGGCCATTGCAATTATAGTACCTTGAAGACTGGAATCACCATGATGATATGCTGCCTCAGATAAAACTGCACCGGCTAATGATGAGACCTTTACTTCTTTTTTATATTTATTCTTAATGCAAGTGTAAAGAACTTTTCTTTGGCCAGGTTTAAATCCGTCGAGAACGTTTGGTATGGATCTTTCATTATCTGCTCGGCTGAATAATATCAACTCCTTATTAATAAAATCGGTAATTGTGATCTCATCGACGTTATGATTCATGTAGGTTCCGGGTTCGTAATTTCTTAACCATTCTTTACGATCATCTGCTTTCTTTTTATTAAAAGCCATGTCAATCAATTCGCGTTCGTCAGATTGAATCGGTCTGAATGGTTTTCTATGTGTTCTTAGATCTTTAAAATATTTCTTAGCTTCTTCGGCAGTACTTGTACCAAGACCTTTGTAGTACTTGATATGCCAGCCTTTACCATTTTCGTTACTTTTCAACCAATTCTCGAATTCTGGCAAAGTAAAGAACGCTATTTCCGTGCGACTTCTTGTGCACTTTACAATAGGTGTTATGAATTCCATCAAGAAACCTTGAATTTTGAGCAATGACGGGAAGAAATGATCCAAGAAATTAATGATCAATCCTTTTATATGACTACCATCGTGATCTTGATCAGTCATTATCATAAGATGTCCGTAACGCAATTTAGTTGTTGAAGTATATTCTTCGCCTTGTTTCAATCCAAGAATTTGTTTTATATGTTGTATTTCTACATTATTCATGAGCTGAGTATGTGTTCCTTCTCTTACGTTTAATAGTTTTCCGCGAAGTGGGAAAACTCCATAGTTATCGCGGCCAACTACGGAAAATCCGGCAACTGCTAGAGCCTTTGCTGAATCACCTTCGGTAAGAATTAAAGTACATTCTTGACATTTTTTCCCGCCAGCATTATTCGCATCATCAAGTTTGGTAATACCTGTGATCTTCTCTCTCTTTTTTCCGTCAGTTTTCTTTAGGTCTTTGTTTTGTTTAAATCTGACATCTTCCAAGATACTTTCAACGACTTTACTTTTAAGTAATTTATTATAAAATGCATCGCTTGGATTGCATTTTGAACCAAATGATGAAGCTCTTAATGTTAAAGTTTCTTTTGTCTGAGAATCGAAGCTCGGATTTTCGATTAAGCAATTGATAAAAAGCCACATATGATTTTTGATTTGGTTTTTTTTCATTAACTTTGCATCCTTGGCCTTTTTCGAGACCGCTATCATTAACCTCTCTATAATTTGGTCCGCGATATAATTGACATGAGAACCTCCTTTGGATGTACAAATACTATTGACAAAGCTAATATGCTGAAATGATCCTTCTGGAGATGGGAAAAAGGCAATTTCCCACCTTGGATTGACTTCTTCATAAATAATTGTCGATTTTAAGTCAACTTCATCAGATTCATTCAAATACATCAGGACATAATCTTTAAAATTCTTGATTCTCACTCTTTCATTATCCAAGAAAACTTTGACATCTTTTACGACACCAGCTAAATCATACACGCGTTTCTTCAAAAGCGCTATGAAATCATCATCAAGCCCATTATGCATGTTAAATTTTTGAAAATCGGGCTTGAAAGTGATCATCGTGTATTCCTCTTTTTTTGAATAAGACGAGATTTCTGGAGGTTCTGTGACAGTCATATTATCTCTGAATATTTGACGATATTTTTTTCCAATGGAACTATCAACAGTTTCAACAATGAATTGTGTACTAAAGATATTTGCCAATTTGGCGCCATAACCATTCCGACCACCGGTAACTTTCCTTTCATCATCATTATAATTAGAAGATGTCAAAAGATGGCCGAATATTAGTTCTGGTACCCATACATTTTCTTCTTTATGAATTTCGATGGGTATACCATTGCCATTATTATAGATAGAAATCTCGCCTCGAACTTGATTAATAACGACTTTTATAGTATCCATAGAGGGATCACGAATTTTGTTGTCAGCAGCGTTTACCAATATTTCATCTACTATTTTGTATAAACCTGGAACATAATTAATTTCTTTATAGACCATGATATTTTTAATCGAATCATAAACCCATAGCTTCTCGGCTGACGCTTGAACTGATCCAACATAAGTATCAGGTCTTAATAAGATATGCTCAAGTTGAGTTTTCTTTTGGTATATTTCTTCAACAGTTTTTTTTGCCTGTGTTGCAGTTTTATTCGACGAAATTTCGTTAAAAGGAGTGATAGTTGAAGAGGCTTTACTAGAAGTGAATTTACTAGAAGCGGCTTTACTAGAAGTTGCTTTGCTAGAGGTGACTTTACTAGTGGTAGCTTTATTAGAAATGGTTTTACCAGCTGAGGCTTTACTAGAAAGAGATTTACTAGAAGAAGCTTTACTAGAAGTGACTTTACTGGAAGAAGCTTTATTTGTGGAAGCTTTTACAGTTGGTTTACGCGTTTTTGTAGGTTTTGGGATATATTCCTCTTCGTCTGGAACATATTCAGAATATTCGGAATCTGACATATCTGACATATTTGCTAAGACAATAAAAACCTTGTGTTGGTTAAAGAAGTTCTAATATAAAGGTGTTTGGAAATTTTTCAGAAAAAAAGTAAAAAGTATAAAAGTGTAGCTAGTTATTTGTTCAGACGCGGTTTTATTTTGAAAAAAAAAAAAAAAAAAATTAATAATAAATAATAGATTTTCAAGTCGCCAAATTACGTTTCTGCCGGTTGATAAGGGACGGTCATTTGAAATATCACGTGAACTTAATTAAGGGTCGCGTATTCTAAGCGGCCAAATTTAAGGTGTCGATCTGTTATCACGTGATGCGTTAAATTTGCAATTTTATTGGTTGGTAGTATGCATGTGATTATAAATAATTTACATCTTATATTATAAAAAAATACCTGTATATCAGTGTGTAAAATTCATGTGCACAATGTGCATATGTGCACATTAAATTTTTGTGTGCACATATTACACAGCATAAAATGTGCACAAATAATTACTAAAATAGATAAATT